CCCAAGAGGCCCACACCAAGACACATCATCATCAAAATGCAAAAGGTTCAAGACAAAGAGAGAATCTTAAAAGCAGCAAGAGAAAGGCAGCTAGTTACCTACAAGGGAGTTCCCATAAAACTGTCAGCTGATTTTGCAAAAGAAACTTTGCAGGCCAGAAGGGAGTGGCAAGAAATATTCAGAGTGATGAAAAGCAAGAACCTACAACCAAGATTACTCTATCCTGCAAAGCTGTCATTTAGAATCGATGGCCATATCGAGTTTCCCAGACAAGTAAAAGCTAAAGGAGTTCATCACCACCAAACCATTATTATATGAAATATTGAAGGGTCTTCTTGAAGAAAAAGATAAAAAATATGAACAAACAAAATGGCAATGAATACATATCTATCCACAATGGAATCTACAAACAAAATGAGCAAGCAGAACAGAAACATTCTCATAGATACAGAGAACAGTTTGTTGGTTGCCAGATGGGAGGGGGGTTGTGGGAATGGGTGAAAAAGGTGAAAGGATTAAGAAGCACAAACTCATTGCTAGACTGACAAACCTCAAAGGGAAAGGGGTTGGGGGGGTGGGAAGAAATAAACCAAAGGACTTATATGCATAACCAATGGACACAGACAACAGTGTGGGGAAAGGCAGGAGGGAGGCGGGAATGAGGAGGAGGGTGTCAATGGGGGAAAAATGAGAAACATCTGTAATACATTCAATAATAAAGATAAGCTTAAAAAAAATAAAATATTAAATCAGACACTAAATCTCTGTTATGCTTTTTAGAAATTTTCCGATCATTACATGAAACTGCTTTGTGTGCCTGAGGTTTCAAGCTGTGATACATGATTGGTTAAATTTTATTTCTCACATTTCCAAATGAAAAAAGACTCCATATGTTTTCCCAGCTCATCGAACTGTCTTGGCAATGAATAGATCAGTGTACCCAGGGATGACCGACATCATGTGGTTCTTGGGGATCCTGTGTAGGAGGTGCTCTGTGGTGTGTCAAGCCACCCAAACAGAACCCCCCCCCCCCCACGTGGCACAGAACTGTCAGTTTTTGTCTTGATGGCGTATTCAGAGTTTAAAACCATCATTAAAATGTTACAGGTGACGTATCAGGAAAAATTAAGCCCTCCACTTGTGTTGCCTTGAAAGGAAAACGGTTCTTCATTATAATGAGTGAAATGACATGCTGGTTATGAGTGCTGGTGACCTCTGGAAAGGGACCCGCTGACCCGTGCTCGGAGGAGAGCCAGGCAGAGGACAGGAGGCCCAGGTTTTCCCAGCAGAGCTGTGGGCTGGCGGACAGGACTCTGGCTATGATTAAAAGGGGCGGAGTTCTCAGCAGGGACACTTAGTCAATGACCACGCTGCCCGCCTATTTCTCTGGTCCACTCTTCATCTGCATGTGACACCATGTATCTGGGTTGTAAAAGTTACACAAACATCGCACATAAAAATAACACACATAGCCCTGGCTGGTTTGGCTCAGCGGTTAGAGCGTCGGCCTGCGGTCCTGAGGGACCCGGGTTCAGTTCCCGCTAAGGGCGTGTACCTCGGTTGCAGTTTGTCCCCGGCCCTGGTAGGTTGTGCGGGTGGCAGCCACTCGATGTGTCCCTTTCGCATCGATGTTTCTCTCTCTCTCTGTTCCTCTCCCCCGCCCCCCTCCGCTCTACCTGAACAAAAAATGGAAAAATGTCCTCGAGTGAGGATAAAAATAAATAAATAAATAAAAAACCACACACATACTCTTACAGAGAAACAAGCAAAAATTCATTTAGGATATAGACGCCGTCAACACCCAATTTATGGAGATTCGATCTCCACGTAGATTTGCACGCTGCGGTATGATAGGTCTTAGCCCAGTGAGCACCTGGACAGTGGCCGGTCTGAGCCGAGATGTGCGTAAATATAACACACACGTCTCCCTTCAAAGACTTAGCACCGAAAACAAACAAAAAAGGAAAATCGCTTACTACTTTTCTACGTTAACGGTTACATTGACGGTATTTGGGACATCTTGGGTTAAAGAAAATAGGTCATTAGAGTTAACTTCACTTGTTTCATTTCTTCTTCCTAATGTCGTCACGAGAACGTGGGCAATGACAGATGAGGCTTGTACTTATGGCCGGCGTTATAGTCCCGTTGGCCGATGCTGATCTGAATGAAAAGTATGGCAAACAGGTAGCATGTAGCGATCCAACGGGACTGAAAGAGACATTCACAGTAACTGCAGATCAGGACAAGGTGCAGAAAACTGCCCAGGGGCCCCCCACTGTGACGCGTCACCCTTTCCGCCCTCCTGCGCTGGAAAGTCCTGCAAACCGAATGTGTGCTCAGTAACTGTCAAAGGGAAGAGGAGAGAGGCAGGTCCCGGGGAATGAGCGGGGCTCCAATTTCAACTTGGACTCGAGAAAGAAAGGGATCATCCACTCGGAGGCTGTTGGCGCTCCGGGTTCTGCTGGAAAGGAGCCGTTACCGAGAATGCAGGGTCTCATTCCTGCATGTGAGCGGGGCTCTTCTATCAGGGAGAACATCGGGGAGCTCTCTTCCTTCGTGGGCACGTCCTGGGAACGCCCCTGACACGTGAGGGCATGGTGAGCGGGAAGGCGGTGACCACGACGGTCCCCGAGGGGACTGCACCCGGTGCGGCGTGACCTGGGATCACTGACCAGGGAGTCCTAACACTCCGAGGGGCCGTTTACATAAATGAACATTATGCTTTTTACTCATTTATTTTTTTAATCCTCAGCCGAGGATATTTTCCCATTGATTTTCAGAGAGCGTGGGAGGGAGGGAGGGAGGGAAACACTGAGGTGAGAGAGACACATTGACTGGTTGCCTCCCAATGACCCCAACAAGGGCCGAGGATTGAACCCACAACCGCAACCGAGGTACATGCCCTTGACCGGAATTGAACCTACGACTCTGGTCCTCGGGCTGACGCTCTAACCGCTGAGCCACACCGGCCAGGGCGCGTTATGCCTTTTAGGGAGTCCATTGGGTCTACTTATCCTACAGTTCTCCTAACTCTCATCTTCCATCAAGGAAGATACTTTCCTGCTTAGGCGGAAAATGTTCGTACGTGCACCTCGCTGGGCCTCGGAAATGAATGAGGCTGTAACGTGTCTGGGTCAGGCTAGGGAGAGGGCGGACACCACTGAGCACACAAGCAAACGTACATTTTTCTTCACCAGGCTGGGGGGACATGCTGAGTATCTTGGGGATCAATGCAGTTCTGTGAGCCAGGGGAGGGGACTGTGTAAAGCCACCAGCTCTGTAACCCCGCCTGACAAGATGGACTTCATTTTAGACAGGGCCAGCCCGGGACACAACCATAGAAACCCTTTCCTGGAACCACGAGGAAAGTGGCTGTGTGAGGCTTCCCTGGGACAAACTGTGCGCGGTGCGGTGTCCAGGGAACCCCAGGAAACACGATCGCTTTGAAAGATTTCTCTGCAGAAAACGCAAGGGCTCCAGAAATCCGTGTGCGCTCCCTGCGTGGTGCGTAGTGTCCAGTGAACCCCAGGAAACACTATCGCTTTGGAAGATTTCTCTGCAGAAAACGCAAGGGCTCCAGGAAATCCGTGTGCGCTCCCTGCGTGGGTCTACGCCCACTGGTGGGAAGCTTCGCTCACGCAGAGGGGCTCGTGGTTTATCTCACTCATCTTTTCCCACTTTGCAACAGTTGCAAACCCTGTGACATCTGTTTTGTTCTCTGCCTGCCCCTCACGAAAGCTAAGCAACTCGTAACAGCCCATGACCTTAATAAACCGAAACCGCTCAGGGCAAAGCGTGGGTATTCACTTCATAAAATCGAGTGTATGATCATTTTTTTTTTTTTTTTTTTGCAAAGCTGAAGACTAACCCTTGGGGAATCTCTGGCGCCCTACGCAAATTCATATCACTTACGGACTCACTGTGTGAGTTCAAGGTTGGTGTCCAATGACTGCTAAGAAATGTTGCAGAAATATAAATACGCCAGCACTGAAATTTAATTAGACACTGCCTATGTTAATAATAAATTCAATTAATTTAGCCTTCTAACTATACTAGTGAAAGAAAAAAAAAAACCCAGACAAAATAACTCATTTTAAATGCCTCAGTTGGTAACCTCCTTTCCTGAAGAGTGATTTATGCTCTAATTTACTGGTTGTGTCTTCGTGAGATTGTTTCAAACCAGCCCTTTTGAAATAATAATTTCTGCATGTGCGTTGAGAGAGATATAACAAATGACTTCTTATTAATTTTTATTTAATGAGTTGCCTATCCGCATGGTAATTTTTTTAAAGTTCTCTTCCTAAGATCAACAGGTTATAAATATGGAGGAGAACACTTCCATTTCACAGACATCATGACGGGAAACCTGTCTCACGTTCTCTACCTGATCTGAAGGTCAATTTCTTGCAAAGGCTCTATGCCAAGGAGGCAGCTATTTTTTTCCCCTGACAGCACAGCCGATTGTTTTAAATGTCTGTAGCCAAGGGATTCCAAACAGGTTAAAAAATACTTAGCAGCAGGAGAGGACCCGGCAGGGATAGAAGTCAAGTCTCGAAGGAAGAGCAGGTAGGACTAGCTGAGGAGCCCACGGCGCTGCTGACCCCTTTTTTAACTGCAAACGGAAAATCATCTCTTACATCTTTTCCACTTCTCCCAGCCTCTCCCTTTGTAACAAGGCCCCATAATTTCCTATGTGAACATTAATATTCGAGAAGAGCGCTAATTTCTTATCTTTTCAAAAAGTCGGACTCCATAGCAACTCGTGGACTCTGTGTTGTCACAGGAAAGAGAGCAAGGATGAAATAATCCACCAAACAAATGCAAAACACGGAAAACTAGGGAGAAGAGATTGCTCAGAAGAGCCCCCGCTATTTCAGACGGTTCGGATCTTACAGAAAACCCTGCAGCAGACAGGGCACGGCTCTGAAGAGTATTCCCTGCAACAGTTGCAGGTGTGTGGCGCCGGAGGTACCAGACCGACAGATGCCGCCGCTACTTACATTGGAACCGGAAGGGCCTGGCTCCCAGTCCGCACTGCCTCACGCCTTCCCCGTGGAAAAGCCCGTACTGCATCTCGCCCATGAACTTGTGCAGCTCCTGCCCCGAGGCGTTGACTAGCAGGGCCCCCGTCTTGCAGAAGAAGGTGGCCTTGATCCAAAACGGCGTCCCCAGCGCCGTCACCACGCCAAGGGCACACATGAAGCTCAACGCCCCAGCCGTGCAAAAAATGACTTTCTTCTGCTGGCTTGGCATGATGAGGCGTGGCTGTGGCGAGGGGGGAGTTCAAAAACAAGAGCTCTGTGAGTGACGAGAAGCGACGGCCCCGCGGACGGCGTTCAGGTCGAAGCCGAACAGAGGGGACCCAGAGGGAAGGCAGGCTCAGCATCGGAGGCCGCGGCCAGGCGACATGTCAGCCGCATGCCGGGACGAAGGCTTCCGTGTCACTCGGCTTTTCTCCTCCTGTGCTTCCATTTCTCTCTAATTTGACATCTTTGGACTAAGAATCCGTGAAAGAAAACTCTTTCAAACTGCCTGGAGTCCCTCCCCTTGTGTCACTGGCTAACAAAGGTCTAAGATAACAGATGGAGTCCTCCGCGTAACTTGAGAAATGCCTCCCCTTCTCCAGGCTTCTGTCTGATTGGCTGAGTTGAAACTTTCAGCAACAGGCTTGGTCCCTATGGTACATTTTCAGCAACTTGAGAAGTTCATGTACTGGTGTGTTTTTATGTTTGTGAGGTTTGGGCGGGGGGCGGGGGGTAGAAGAGAAATTTTGGCAGAGGTAAAAAGGACATGCGTCTATTTGTTGGTATTAATTGATTTTGAAACATGTTCATTGTAGCGGGACAAATATTGGACTGAATTAGGTCCTGCATGGACACAAACTGCCCCACACCCAGGTCTGTGATTTAGAACCGGTGTATCAACAGAGACTTTGAATCCAGCGTTTTCTGGGAAACAAAAATATGGAGGTGCAGGTGCAAATATCCAGGAGTCTGCGTGCTATTGTCCTGGCTGCTTCCGGGCAATAGCAGGACGCCACTGTGGGGCTGCAAAGTTCCGGGGTCTGTAAAGAAGACAGGGCGTGGTCATGGGAAGAGGAGGCTGTGGTCAGACGGAAGGCTTTGTCTGTGAATTTGCCACAGAAAAGCAGGGTCCCAGCAGAGGTAATGCATTAGGGGGACAAAAGACAGAGTCACAAGAAAGATTAAGCAACAAAGTGAGTTTGGTTAAATCGTCAAGAGGGACCTAAAAACAGAAGTTCAGAATTCAACGACAGCTTTCTAATTCTGCATTTCCAATGAGATACCTCCTCTTGCACACAGATGTAGGGTGTGTGTGTGTGTGTGTGTGTGTGTTTGCTGAATGTCTACTATTTGCCACATTCTTGTTCTAGGCTCTAACCTACAAAGAATTCTTAACTTTTAGAACAAAAATGCTTAATTTTTAGTAAAAACTTTATATGGCCCTGGCCGGTTTGGCGCAGCGGTTGGAGCGTCGACCTGCGGTACTGAGAGACCCGGGTTCGGTTCCCGCTAAGGGCACGTACCTCGGTTGCAGTTTGTCCCCAGCCCTGGTTGGGTCGTGCAGGTGGCAGCCCCTCGATGTGTCCCTTCACATCGATGTTTCTCTCTCTCTCTCTCCCTCCCACTCTATCTGAACAAAAAATGGAAAAATGTCCTCGGGTGAGGATAAAAAAAAAAAAAAAACTTTATATGCCTGGCACTGTGCTAAGTATTTTACCTAAATTATCTTATTTATTTATTTATTAATCCTCACCCAAGGATATTTTTCCATTTATCTTCAGATAGAGCAGGAGGGGAGGAAAGAGGAAGAGAGAGAGAAAAAAAAACATTGATGTGAGAGAGACAGATTGACTGGTTGCCACCTGCACGACCCCCACAGGAGCTGGGGACAAACCACAACCGAGGTATGCACCCTTAGCGGGAACCAAACCTGCGACTCTTTGGTCCGCGGGCCGACGCTCTAACCGCCGAGCCAAACCGGCCAGAGCTCTGATTTAATTCTCACAGTTACCATATCAAGTGATGACGAAGAGGATGATGGTGGTGGTGGAGGTGGTAAAGATGATGATATTCCCACTTTAAAGATAAGGAAACTGAGGCTCAGAGGGAGAAAGCAATTTGCCCGAGTGAGTAGTGGAGCTCAATTTGAATCCAGGTCTTCTAACTCTGAAGCGTATGTGCTCTTCTGAGCAGCCCGTGACCTTGAGGAGAGGACCAGCTTCAGCGGGGGTTGGTGGAACAGGGAGGAACAGGGACAGAGTAGCCTGCTCTTAGTTGCACGTCTTGGCTGCTTGGAGAACAGAAACGTCTGCTCGTAGAATTGCCCTAGTCGGTCAAAAGCACATGTGTCTGCTCGCTTCAATTCTCTTGACCCACCGAGTAGCATTGCAGCGTAGAAGTCACCCCACGAAGATTTGTTCCCCTGGCGGCGTGGATGAGTCTCCAGGTGGTGTGTGCGTGGAGGGCGACTCCAAGGTCAAGTCTTGGACTTTGGGGCACAGCTATCTCTTGCCAGAGGCTGTCTTGTTGAAGACAGAGAGCTGAGTGTAGCACTGATTCAAGAATGCCAAGGTGCCCTGGCCGGTTTGGCTCAGTGGCTAGAGTGTCCGCCTGCGGTCCGGAGAGACCCGGGTTCAGTTCCCGCTAAAGGCACGTACCTCGGTTGCAGTTTGTCCCCGGCCCTGGTTGGTCGTGCGGGTGGCAGCCACTCGATGTGTCCCTTTCACATTGATGTTTCCCTCTCTCTCTCTTTCTCTCTCTCCCTCCCACTCTGTCTGTGCAAAAAATGGAAAAATGTCCTCGAATAAGGACAAAAAAAAAAAAAAAAAAAGAATGCCTAGGTCCCCCAGGGGAGGAGGGGCATGCACAAGATTCAGGAGGGGAACTGGAAACTCGGGTTCGAGTATGACTAAGTCTTCATTTCATGTAACTTGGCACCGAGAAACACTCGCCACGGGGTATCTGGCCGCCCCATGAAGTCTCTGGATTTAGACTGACTGTCATCACTGTCCACTAAAAACAAAGGGGGCACCGGTGGTGATCTGGGGGTATATGTGCCATATCCGTTCCAGAAACCTTAGTGTGAACTGTCCAAGCAGAGTGCTGAAGAAATCAGCATATTCTGCAATTGGAAGAGACAGCACATTTCCAAGCCTGGGAGCAGAAATCACCTACAACTTAATCAATACCATGAACACCTTCACAGAAAGGAGAGGGGGGAGGGAGGGGGTCGTCAGCAGAGGATGGTGGTTTGATGAAGCAGAACCAAGCGGATGTCTCTACGCTGCCCGGGAAGAGAAGCCCTGACTGGGTCAGAGAGCATCAGACGCCCCGTCTTAGGTCTGCGTCCGCTCAGGGGGAGGTTTTTGTGGAGCTGTAGAAACATGAGAAGAATAAGCATGGGGCAGTGGGTTCATCTTTTATCCTGAAATTGTTGTTAATATCTCTTTACTTTAATAAAATAATGGTGATTTAATTTTTAATGTCCTTGCTTGGTAAGTTAAAATATTGGCAAACCTACATCTGTTCAGCTCAGGCTAAACACTTTTTTAAAAAAATTTTATTGATTTCAGAGAGAGCGGAAGGTAGAGGGAGAGAGATAGAAACATTGATGAGAGAGAACATGGACTGGCCGCCTCCTGCATGCCCCCCACTGGGGATCAGGCCACAACCTGGGCATGTGCCCTGACCGGGAATGAACTGGAGACCTCTTGGTGCAGAGTCGATGCTCAACCACTGAGCCACACCGGCCGGGCCCAATTTAAAAACACAAAACCTCATTGGTCTGTAACATACAAGAGTATGGATCCCTACAGAGAAAGTATGAGCCCCACAGACCTCTTCGTTCTAACCTGGTGGGTCTCAGCCTTGGCCGCGCGTTGGAATCGCTTGAGGAGATTTTAAAACGACGGCTGTCTGGGCCCTAGTCCCTGAGACTTATATTTATTTGATTTCAGAGCATGACCTTGGCACTACCGCACCCCCGGTGACTGTCATGTGCAGTCAGCCTCGAACCGGGGCCCCCGCCCATTCTCCCAGCGGCCCGTGATCCTAAGTGGGCTTCGCCGCTGTCCGGGCGCTGCAGCCAAGGAGACACGGGTGTCGAGTCACCGGTGGAGAACCTTCTCGTTGTGAACCAAGCCACTTACACCATCACTGTAGCTCCCACTTTCTGAATTCCGTTCAGCGCCAAGCGCACGATTCTGCTGGAATATCCCGATAGGATTAGGTTTCAGTGTATCCAAAATTCAAGACCTGGACCCTAGACTTACGCTCAGTCACCATGTGAGTCTCACCAGTAATGTCTCCGGCTGTGAGCAGGCCCCTCGGGTCCGACGCCCACCTCACCTCCTCTCCGCAGCTTCTTTTCAACATTCCCCACCCCCCACGCACCACAGGCTGCAGAGCGGCGAGCGTGATCCGGCCCTGGGGCCCCACGAGAGAACCTGGCGGTCATTTTGCCGACAGCCTTCCTGTGAAACTCCATCTGCGAAGCCTCGGATGACATGATGCCCCCGTTCTCCGTGCAGCCTCTCCGAGGACGTGAGTCGTCAGTGTCCGCAAGTCCCCACCCAGCAAGCTCCTGACGTCGTCTCTCCATCTTAGTCGAGATGCATTTGGTGACATAAGAAACTGGAACCCGTCCTTGCCGTCCCCCCACGACCCGCTCCGGTGCTGGATGATGACATGATTCTTCAGTGTGACTGGGAAGAACCCGGAGGGGGAGTAAGTACAACTGCAGTGGTTTTTGCTTCCAATACAGCGTGATGCCTGTTCTCACAATAATTTGGCTTCATTGTTTTTTTTTCATAGTCATCCAAAAATAAAACAACCCAAAAATGGTCCAACTCCGAAGTCATGGGAATTCTCGCCTGGCCTGCTCCGCTGTGTAAGCGGCAGCCCGGCATGGTGTCGAGAGGGCCCTGGAGAGAGACGTGAACCAGGGTCTGGTCCAAGTCCATCACTAGAGGAAGAATTCCTTCATTTCTCTGGCACTCATTTTACTCGTTTGTGAAAAGAGCAGTTTCAGCTACATAGGCGATTTTCAAATTATTATTATTTTTTCTTTATTGATTTTAGAGAGAGAGAGAGAGAAACATTGATGAGAGAGAACATGGATTGGCCGCCTCCTGCACGCCCCCCACTGGGGATCAGGCCCACAGCCTGGGCATGTGCCCTGACTGGAATCAAACTGGTGACCTCTTGGTGCAGGGTCGACGCTCAACCACT